GGCTATGAAACGATGGGTAGGTTTCTCTAACGCTCCGTTCCCTCGTATCTGCTATGTTTTCCCCGACGTGTGTCCCCCACCCATTATCCCACGGACTCACAGGTCGTGTTCGACTGTCCCCCTCTTGGCTGACGTCCGCCACCCTCCTGAAGTGCCCCCCTCTGATTTCGGTCGGCCTGAACCTTTCCCTGCCTGTTCTTGGTCAACGCTCCTGGTTATCCTTTATTAGGTGGCTGCGTCGGTGATACGAAAGTGACCAAGAGTCCTCCTCCTGAGAACCTCACGTGCTGTTGGTGAAAACAAAAGCTGTAGAGACAGAACGTAAGAGGTTTTAGGATCTGGAAAGAGCAAGCAGTTGTGCGTCGGGAAGTCGGACCAAACGGTAGTCTTTATATGGGCTAGATCAGGGCATTTAATCTTAACCTTGAAAAATGAGGCATAAGGCAGCTAGCAGCAAGGGGGGAAATTCTAGAGCCTTCCATGATCATTCCAGACTTCAATGATCTTTCACTCCTCCGGAAAACTCTATCTGCCATAAATATACATATATAAATATATATATACATGCCCACATACGCACACATACGTGTACACATACGTGTGTGTGTGTATATGTTTCTTAGGGCACTAGATACACACGTTATCATCAAGGAGCTACAGTTTATTTGAGGGAAGAGAACAAACTCATTTAAAGATGTAACGTGTGTCCAGCTTAACAATGTATTACGGCTCAAACACATCAGTCATTGCGAATCAGGACCAGGGACTGACTCCTCCAGCACCTGCGGATTCACCCCACAGCAGAGAATATATTACGTTTCATTACCGCATAGAAACGATAATCACATTTCTACTGACCTATGTTTCATAAGTGATAAATGTGACGCCCCTAAGTCATTTGTTTGTGAATGGGAACCGTGACGTTTGCCGTCTCTGTCTCAAAACGGCATTAAACGTTCGGTTCACAGGTAACCCACGAACAGTCGCTGATCTGTCAGAAAAAGGCTCCTCTAGGACAGCCCAGAGATGCTCGTCTGAACCACAGTTCTTAAACTTTCTCCAGGTAGCGAGAGATTTTGTCAAATTGTGGCAGAAGGTTTGTTTCCGTCTGTACAAATAACCCAGAATATATATAAATATATATTAATGCAACGCAGAAAGTGCCCCTCACTTCCCAATTCTCTCATAGTCCTGTAGTAAACAGTTTCCTAAGAGTGACTATTCTGGGAACGTTCTTGTGAAACTCTAAAAATACAACATATTTTTAAAAGAATTCTGAATTCAGTAGAGGATCTAAAAAAAAAATCCAGAACTCCTTTACCTTAAAAATATTTGTTGAAATATTTAGATAACAGAGTAACCCATTGTCAGTATAATCTTTCCTGATCTTTGAAGAGGCTCAAGATCACTACTAGACAGCAAAACAAAAGGCTTATGCTAACTAAGGTGAAGCTCCTGCTGTTCATTGCCTGGGGCGCTCTGTGAGACAGAATATAATTTAAATAACAATGATCCAATCTGAGTTTCTCTCATTACAGGTCACAGGTCTATGAAAACGCAGAGAAGAATAAAAAACTGACATCCATTGTCCCTGATCTCCCAGAGCCATGGGCGAGGGCTCCATTTGGTGGTTACATATCTGAAAAATGTTACCGGGTATGAAAGAAAAGAGGCAAATCTGTAATAAAAAGTAGTGTTTTGTAATAGAGGTAAACTTTTAAATTTTTATTTTGGTCTAACCTACTACTCAGAAAATAGTAGCTGCTCATTAAAATGACTATCAATCAACATATTTATTCCAGCATGGCCCATGGATGGCCTGGCCTTTCTGCCTTGCCGGCCTTGCATGTTTATCAGTATCAGTCATGCACGTGGTGCTCACACAGGCGTGATCGCCTAAAATATCTGCAAGTAAGGTCATCAATAATTAGAAGACCTGAATTTGGGTCCCAGCGGTGCCACTCCCCGTGTGAAATGTCAGCAAATCCTGAAAGACCTGAAGACTCGGTTTCTCATTTACGAGGAAAAGTCAAAGGAGCTATGTAGCAAGACCTGGAATTGCCAGGACTGTAAAGTTAGAAGGTACGTGAGAGTGTGCTTTCGTAATAGTAAAGAATATGCAAACATAATTTTTACCCATTTCAAAAATTTTAGGGTGTTTATTAAGCTGTATATTTACTCTCTGTTGATACTTTCTAATCCACTTGTGTGCGCATTAATTATGGATCTGAAATATTTAAATACCAATGTTTCCTTAAGTAATGCAATTAGTGAGCAAGAGGCAATTGCAAAAGTCTTTTGAAAATAGTTGAAAGTGTCTCTATACAGTCATGAGCTTTAATAATTTGCTAAAATATTTTATAAGCATCCATCATTTCCAAAACATCTTTTGGGGATGGATATTTGATTCAGGTGTTTGATCGCATTGTGGGAGCTTGGGAATTCTTAATTACTTATGTCCAAATCTAAGAATTTAATGTGCAGTTAATACTATTTGGGTTATATAGCCATCAGCACCACCAGTTCTCTATTACAAACATCTTTTCCCGTCTGAGGAGGTTCTAGCTCTAAGATAATCTTGCAAACAGGACTCGTACCTGAGGAGCGTCTGTGTTTTCATAGGGAGAAACAAAAAGGTGAAACAGACAGAAAAAGATAATTGCTCCTGTCAAATTGATTATACCATTAACTAAATATCAGTCATCTCCAATATTTCTTTCTTCTGTTTCTAGAATGTTTGTGTTACTGTGCAGTCAAAAACGTGCATATACTTGGAAAGTGCCCATAAAAAGATGAACAGATTCAGGCTTTCTCAGAGTTACTCAGCAAATGTGGAGGGACGGCAAGATGTCCTAAAGCCACGCGGGATGCCCAGGAGCATGTGGACTTAGGACATCCACACGGGGCCGGGGGCTCCCTGGAGCAAGCCTTCTGTGTGAGGAAGGAAGCCGTAGGAAACCAACAAGCCAACAACCTCTACTCTCCACCCACGTGCACGGTTCCAGAGCACGTGGACCTTCCTCACTGCTACGTGAAACACAAAGGAAACATAAGAATTCCAGACATAGTTCAGTATGCCCTCCTCAATTCCGAGTCCAGTTGCTTGAAATTCCAATATCCACAAATTTCCTTCTGGATACTTTTTGCACAACCATGAGAAAATAGGACCAGGCGTGTAGAGTTGGAGGGAAAATAGGAAGCAGTTACTAGGGTTGGAAAAGTATTGAGAGACAAAATAGAAGCTGAGCAAGGATGCGTTTTCTGTGATGCAGCCACGGGAGAGGAGACAGGGAGCTTAGTCAGCTCCTAACTGGGAGCACGGTTAGGGTTAGGGTTACGGTTAGGGTTAGGGTTGGGTTAGGGTGCAGAGGTGCGAATAGGAGGGAGGGAGGCGCCCAGGCCAGGGTTTCTGCTCTTTGCTGAGGGAACCACAGCAGAGACACGACTGTAAGATGAACCAAGGCAACAAAGCACGTTTAGTGGCCAGAGAATTGGAGGTACACATGGTGGGAACTTCCCCTGAAATATCTAAAGTCAGAAAGTCACCAAAAGGTTTTTCACACAGTTTTCCTTCCCAGTGTTCATATTCCTCTAAGACTAGCACAGGAGGAAGTGGGAATTAACATATCCAAGTAAGAAAACAAACCACGTTGGGCACAGATGGAGAAAGGGAACTGGAAAACATTTCATCTGCGAGCACAATGATTCCACAAGGGCTCTTTGAAACTTCTCAGAGTGAAATCCTGGAAAGCTATCTTTGAAATGTAATTGTAGATTGATCTTATAGCATCAATTGTTGTCAGTTTATCATGCACACAAATTAATTAATACGCCTGCTGTTTACTCAGCCTTTCCAATGGTATTACGGCGAAAGTGAAAAATTGGTTTTCTCCTGATGTCAGCCACTCTAGTTCTATTTTTGCCCAGGGTCTTACAATTCTTCAAGTGTGATTTCTCCTACTAAAAGGGATTTGAGACAATTAATCTTCCTCTTAGGCACCCGGATTAGCTCTGGGTCTGTGGGGTGATTCTTGTCTTCTCCAGGCTTCAGTGCTCATCTGCCAAATCAGGGCATCGGTCTGGATGTTCCTAACAAACTCTCGTGCTCCCAAAGCCAAACTTCTTAATTTCTTATGTTGGGCTGTTCACTATTACATAGGTTTTTAATCATCAGATTAGTGAAGGATTGGGCTGTTTTATGTATTCTAAGCATTCAGTTAATTGATTAGTTAATCTTAATTAGTTACCCACACCAAATAGCTAATATTTTAACTTAGGCACTAAGGATCCTGAAAATGTCAGTTATCGTATTGCAAACTCCCCTTTTGAAACACAACTTCTCTTTTATTTTTCCTCTCTTTTGTCTTCTTCATTTACATCGTTTAAATAGATAAAAACATTTCATATTGATTTATAACATTAGGGGAGTACTAGAGAACACTGCTTAAAACTGTGAAATACAGATCCAATCCTGGCCCCATCAAATCATGGAACTGTTACCTTGAGCGAGTACTCAAACTACTTCTGTTAGTTTTCTCATCTCGGGAATTAGTGGTGATGAGGAAAGAATTTACTACATACAGTTGTTATACGTGTGTGTTTATATACACATAGAATTATACATATGATTTTATATATGTAAGATCATTCAGTCCATAACCTCTAATTATATCAGATATTCATTATAAATCCTTCATATATAAGTACGTGAATTTTTATCAGTGCCTACTATACCACGGTCAGTATTTTCAAGCCCAGCAGATGTTTCCTGTTCAGGTCCAGCTATTTCATTATTAAAATATGAATATTTCTAATCAGATACATTTCTAGAAATGTGTCTACACTGTCCCGTCAACGATGTACAGAATGAAAACGCAACCCAAAACACAGTAGGCGGCCAGAAAAAAAACAAAATTTATAACTTATCATATAAGCTAGGCATCAGATGTGTCCTGAAAAGATAGAAAATCAACAGAATGGCATTGCCATGTGCTACTTACTAGTGTAGGTGAGCTGAAAGCCTGAGTCGGTGTCCGATCCGTCGGTGTTGAATTCCAGCCACAGGTGGTTGGAGGTGCTGTTCAGGGTCAGTCCCGTCAGTTCATTTTTGGTGAAGGCTCCCAGGGGACGTGAGGAGCTGTCCTTCCCATCATACACCTAAGGCAAAATTCACAGCATGAGCTCCCGTTCTTTAATTGTGTTCTTTTGTTAGCAATTTTAGCAAGAAATTCAAAGATGTGGTTTTATACATTACTTTAAAAGTTATACAGTTCAGAGAAAGGTAAATGGATGAGTTAGTGCTAAATAATCTTTTCTTTAAGTTTTATCTTTAGCACTAATACTAGAGACGAAAGATTCCATTTTTGTTCCCATCGTTTTACATTCATTACTTTAAAAGCTCTTTCTGTGTTCATGTAAAATTACATAAATATTCCTTTGCATGTGCAGGTTCCAATATCTGTCTTTGTATGCCCTTCCTCATAATCCAGTTAGAAAGGAAGAAGGAATTTATATGGTGTTAATCCTTAGTACCTTCTCTGAACTAAGTGAGAGAACATCCCATTCTCCTCTGTTCCCCTCTCTCTGAAGGCATTAAAAGATAGCACGATGTGCTGAAATCTTGCCACATTTTGTAGTCCGTCAGCCCGGGGTGACTTTAGTCTTGAATTTGTTGTAATGATAAAAAAATCCTATCTTGCAATAATAATAGGCAGAAGTGCCATCTTGCTCTGACACACTCTGTATTTGCCACCCTCCTCCTTTGCGGGTGTGAAACGTGAGTGGATGTAACGAGTACACAGACGGCGAAATGCACAGGGCTGGTTTTGACCGGATGTCAGGACAGGGGAGGGAAAAGTCTCAGCGAGGGGTTCCCCGCTCTCAGGGAGAGAGGCGTGGGGGCTGGGTGCCCCCCTCACCTCCTGGTGCGATTGGGGCAAACCGTTTTGGCCGGGCACTGTGGGATTCGCGGCGCCACGCTTCCTGCTGAGGCTGTGTGGGGTGCTCACCTGGCAGAGACCGCAGGGCCGCCGCAGTGGGATTCAGGGCCGTGGGCCCCTCACAGCCCAGCAGAACAGACGTTAACCGGTCTCTCTCACTGGCAGGGAACCACCTTCTGGATAAGGTTGTTCGGAAGTATGAATAAAAATGTATTTCACTATGTTGAAGAACATCGAGTTTTTGTTGTTTCAAAAGAGCACCTTAATTAAATAATAAAGGTAATCAGAGCCCTCGGTAGCCTCTTCCAATGTGTTTCTCTCCTCCTCTTCTTTTCCTCCTCGTACGGATCAATTTTTACTTTTCTTTCATCACCTCTCTTCCAATCCACACGCAAAGCATTCGTGTTACTCAGGAGACTGACAGGCACATACACACTCGCAAAGGGGGAAAATGCGTTTAGAAAAATTTATTTTGTGGATAATTACTTCATTAAAATTAAATAAGCACATACTAGTGCAGTGGAATCAAATACCCTCTAATTTCCTCACTATAAGGCTATTGTCACAGGCTATTGTTTAAAAGTCATTGTTTGGTTTACCATGTGGTTATACCAGACACGGCGCAGGGTCCGACACACAGACAGCAGAGAGTTTAAATCCAGAGATCTAATTCAGAGGGAAAACGTCCAGGTCTCCCAGGAAGGTCTCGGGTTACCCCACATCCCACGTGGTCGTGATTCATAGAAATCTCTGGAGCTGGGGGGCACGAAACACTGGCCGCGCAGTTAAGCCCCTCTCAGTCCCGCGACACTGTCAACCAGTCCACTCCCTGGATCTTGGCTTCCTCGGGAGGCCTTGGCCGCGCGTCCCAGGGACCTTGAACAGGTCTCGTAGGCAGCATCTTGCCCTCAGCAGCCTCCCAGTCAGAGCTGCAGAAAGTGAGCGGCTCAGACGCTGAGCCTCAAGTTTCTCCAGAACGGGAATCCCGCCTTTTCCGTCCGCACCACCAGCAGTTAGCATGTGCTTGGCGATAGGTGACTCGGAACGAGCCAGTCACGGACTAACAGGGAGCATTATTCTGTCGTCTCTCTGTAGCTAAAAATTTGAGTTCAAGTTATGCCTTGATTGCCAATGAAAATGCGGACAGTGGAGGCAGCCGGACGACGAGATGTTTGATTCCGATTGCATAAGCAACAGGCTGCGTCAGCTCCGAGCATCTCCTACTTACATTCCCTTGTCTACAGGAGGCTACACTCAAAGGGCTCCTTTCAGTCATTAGAAAAAGGCTGCCAGAGTCACCCGTTCAGTTCAAGGCTGTACATGCGTGCATCACGGATCCTCCTCAGAGCGTGGCCTGTGATCAGTGCCGTGTGCTCCAGGGAATGCGGCCCGTCGGCAGATGATCGCGGATGAGAAAGCACCGCGCGGAATCCCAGAGCCATAACGCCAGAGGTTCCGGGGGAATCTTTCCCAGCTTTACAGAAACCATACCCTAGGGCTTTGCTTCCATAATTAATTGCTCTTTCCATTATATGTTCCTTTCACAATGTTTTCCTGAGAGCTGTATTTCCCCTACATGATTTTTCCGCAGGAAGCAAGAAAACATCATGTTTATGTACGTGTAGGGGCCGCGTATATAGAATTTCAGTCTTTATTATTGAATCACTGTATGTGTGAAGGAGGAATGTGAACAGCAGTATGCTCAAAAATTAAGATAATTTCACTTGAAACATTTTCAACGGAGATTTGTATTAGCACATTCAACAAAATATGTGCTTGCAAAACATTTAGGCATTTCACGATTGACAGTTTCTCCGAAATCAAACGTGTTAAATGAGATTTTTTTTACTTCGTGTTGTAATCAATAGGTTTAAAATGCACACAATCACAAATGCACACAAATGAACATGAGTTCCTTCCCTCCGTTCCAATATTGACCATGTGTATTTTATGCATTATCTCTAATCGCTCACCCGCACACAGTACAGTTAAGAATTATTTAAAAGTTTGCCTTAAAGGCTTACGGACTTCTAAATTTGAGGTTATCAAAGAATTCAGAAAATGCTTACTTACGACATAACTAAAATTTTTCTTTTAGATTAGTAAGAATGTGCTAGTTTCTTGCCTGAAAACCACTTCCTAATTATAGTCCTCCTATACTGCCAGTGTGAGCTCTCAAAAGACTATTAAAATGAAAGAACAATCAGAATAAAACCACTCTACTAAATTAGGACATTGAAATGTAGTCAAACGTGGACTTCGGCGGGAGTAAGCTGTAGGCCTCTCCTGACCTGTGAGCGCGACTTCTAACGAGGTCGAGTCCGGCCCTGTAGGGCCTGGGGTCCAGCCTTTGTGAAAAGGGAAGGCAAACTGTCCCCTTCTGGTTGGCGCTTTGCATATTTTCCCTTAATGCTCACAGCTCGAAGTGAGTTGACTCTGCTGAATCTGAGCTACATCACTGTGTGTGTCCAGCAGACATAACTGGAAAACCCTAGAACTTTAGGAAGGGAGTAAGAAGAGCCATGTGTCCCTCTCTTGCCAAAGATTAGCTGTGCGATCAGTAAACGCTCACCTTCCCGTGGGAACAGGCGGGTGGCTGGATCGGGTGATTCATGGCACCAGCCTTGGCTGCTCAGAGCTTTTCTCTGTCAATGCCCTGAGGTTCGGTCGCCCACTCCCCAGCCCCTAGATGGTCCCCAATTTCCTGGGAACTATATCAGAAGCCTTAAGAATTAAGGGGCATTTCCAGCTGGAGCTTGGACTTTATACATCAAGGCAGGACCTGGGCGCCCTGCAACTCACAGAGAGACCCCGTCTCGCCCCTGATTCTCCCCACGAGCCCTGCTCTGTCTTCCGGTGACAGGGGCTGGACTCGCTCCCATTATCGCACCAACAACCTTCCAGCTTTACATGTTGTCCCCGTGTTTAAAAATTGATAGTAACTCTAGAAAGGCTTGGCTTGGGGGCCCTGCAAGTTTTAATAATTGCTATTATGTGCTAGGCACAAGCTAGACACATCTGCATACTTTACAGTATTTAATCCTCAAACAGCCCCCAAAGGTCAGTATCCCTGCATATTCTTACCCAGAAGGAAGTTAAGGATAAAAAATGTTAAATAACTTGCACAAGATACATGACTAAGAAATGTTAGATCCAGGATTACTGGCCAAGTTATTTCAATGTTCACATACGCTCTTCCGAGCAACACTGAATTATACCTTCTCAAACCAATTGTGTAAGTAAACGGGAATAAACTATATATCTGTGATAATAAATGTATCTACCTATATCTATGTAGATAGATAGTATGTTCCTTGAGAAGAAAAGATGGAGTTGTCATATTAAAGAAGATTCTTTTTACCTTTAGAATATCTCCCTCGAACAGCTGGAAGCTCCGCGCTCTGAGGTGGATCCCCTTGCCAGCCTCTGTTTCTATTCTATAGATGCACTCGTGGTTATTATCATAATTTGATGGAAAATTTGGAGACAGTAATGTTCCTTCGTTTCCTTTGACACTTGCTCCACATTCAGCTAAAATAAACAGGACATTAAAGAGAGAGGGTTCACAAGTGGAATTACTGACATTAATAGATTAAGAACTTTATAATTATGACAGCCCTCTCATCTATCCATGTATGTCTATTAATAACATAGCTTTTTAAAAACAGGTGATTTTTTAATAGTATTACCACCTAGACAGAAAAGATACCCCATTCATCTCATTTTCAGTGTTTTCTCATTTCTTTTAATAGAATGACCTCTTACTGCATGGAAGCAGCATGCCGTCTTGTAGAGAGTTCTAGAATAAAATAAAAATGCTCAAACACCAGGGCTCCCGGCTGTCTTGCCGGGTTGTGGCATCACCTTGCCACGCCGCATTTCTGCCTTGTGAAATGTCCCCGACACTTCCCGTGTGCTCATTCAACTGCCGTGTCATCGCGATTTCCCTACATTGATATTTTGTGGCGTCAGCCTGATCTGACGGCAGACGAAACCACCGAGTTATCTTCTAGGATGTCAGAGCGCTGAACTCAGCCGCTCACCTTATACCCTGGCGTGGAAGGGCACTCAATGGCAGCAAATACATTCTCCTCTTTTTTTGATAAAGGAAGAGGGTGATCGACTTCTAGTTCCACATTTGTATAAAACAAAACACCTTTCATCAAGGTAAAAGTGAAAATAAATATAACCCTCTATCTTCTGTCGACCCGGAGGAAGTCACTTAACCTGTCAGCACCTGTTTCACTAGGAAAATGAATAGTTTAGGTTAAGAACTCCTTCAGCTCTAAAATTCTATGAGTCCAAAATGATCATGAAATAAATAATACAGTTGAGCGGTTGTGTGCACATTCTCAGATTTAACTTCTCATGATAAGATGGACGTGTCAAGAGTAATAATGCTATTAGGTGTCACGTACTTTTCTAAGTTCTTTACATTCATTTAACTTATTCATACTTGCAGTAACCTCATGTGACAGGTCAATAACCCCATTTGCAGATGAGGAAACTGAACCACTGAATAGTTTTCAAGCCAAGTGTCTTTACCAAGATCATACAACTAATACAGATTAATTATTGATGTGATATAAACTGTTAAGTGCCCAGGAAGAGAATCACACCTTTTTTGTATCCTAAATAATGCTTAAATATACTTTACAACTAATAATTCATAATACCCTTCATAATTAACAATAATGAAACTGGAGTAATAAGAATTTAAATGTTCTAGAAGGGTGAGTGATTTTAAGGACTTTTATTCAAAATAGGTCACCGATAAACTGCAGCTGATATTTGTTACTACATTAGCATTCAGGAAACTAACCATATAATAATTTCTCATAATGCACCATAAAGGTAGGACAAGAAAGAAGAATTTAGTATTTGTATCTGTGGGAAGAAAAAAAGCTAAAACAAAGATCGTATGATCATCTCAACAGATACAGAAAAAGCGTTTGACAAAATTCAGCACCTTTTATGATAAAAACTCTTAACAAAATAATCATAGATGGAACATTTATCAAAATTATAAAAGCCAAATGCCACAAACCCGTAGCCAACACGGCACATGTCTGTGCCATGACAGCGGTGGGGAGGGTTTGCGTGAGTGGTATGGGGAGCAACTGACAGGGTGTGTTAAAGCTGGACAAAGTGAGGAGGTTTTCAGTTGGGATGGAGCATTCTGGCCGCTGTCTCCCCCTGGGGTGCCCCCCGCTGGGAGAAACCTGAGGAGGTGTCTGGAGAGGTGCAGGTGGCTGGCTGGAGGATGGAGGGGGAGGAGGCTGACCTCAGAGCTGCACAGCCCGTGCCGAATCCTTCAGAAGGAGGAACTCATCAGGTGTGGAGAAGGCGAGAGGGGGAGGGGGGGGGAGAGAGAGAGAGAGAAAGAGAGAGAGAGACAGTGTCCAGATGTGCCTCCTGGCCCCATGGTGGATTTTAGCATGATTAATAACCCCTTTATTTAAAGGCATCTTGCAACCAGAGGGACTGGGAGGAAAATCAGGAAACTGCAGGGGAAAGAGACAGTAGCCAGTCCAAGGCCCCCCGGGCACTCTCCCAGGGTGGTGGGGTGGTTGAAGGCTGGGCTGCAGGCTGATTGGGTCCGAATCTCACTAGCCCCGCGTCCTTGGGCAAAGTGCGCAGATTCTCTGTGTCTCAATATTCCCATCTGTGCAATGGCACTGACAATAATGGCACTTTCTTCACAGAGACATCATGCCATTAAATAAATCAATACGTGTACAGGGCCCAGAGCACTGCCTGGTCTACAGTTAAGAGGGCAATGGCTCACGCCTGTAATCCTAGCACTCTGGGAGGCCAAGGCGGGTGGATTGTTTGAGCTCA